TTAAAAATGCTTATATTTTTCTTTTTCAAGATGATTTTCTTTTTCTCTGATTATTTATTTTTGTTTCCTTCTGCTTTTTTGCATTGTCTCTTCTTAATTTATGTAGATTCTGTGTCTTTTTTTTTTTTTTTTTTTTTGGGGGGGGTTGGAAAATATCCTCAAATGTCTTTCAATCCCTGAGAATCTTTTCATATTTATGAATAAGGCTCTAAGAAAGCTGCGTGGAAGGTTTGTGTATGTGTGTATATGTGTGTGAGCCCATGCATGTGTATGTCAAGTAAGGACTTTTATTTCACTGGGGATTCCCAAATGCTAGTATTTATATATCTTTACTGGGCCATTCTCAGTCTTCAGATATCCTTCAAAGGATGATGGAAAGGGAGGCTATAAATCCAACTGCCAGCATTCTGGTAGTTAAGCAGGAGAAAGGAGCCTGGGTTGTACCATTTAGTTTTCAGACTTTTGCCAAATCTCAGTATTTTCAGTTTGACACTTCTCCTCTCTCACCCACTACTGATCCTGGTGTGGTAGTTAAGTTTGTGTGTCAACTTGGCTGGGCCTGGTTGAGTGGCTGGGCAGCTGGTGGTAGTTATTCCCTACGATGAGACTAGCAATCAACTCCATGGTGCGACATACCACAAGAAGCTGAGTAGCTGCTTTAGGGATGTGGTCTGCTTCCTGTGTATAAGGATAAGTCTTGGGGAATGGTCTCTAGCTTGTGGCATGCATGAACCCTGCATGTAGCTGTGTCATTGTTCAGCACCCCGCCATGCTCTGCTGACCTTGGGACTTTCAATGGACTTAAATTAATGGCCTGCCATGTGGTTTGTAACATCAGGACTGTGCCTTTTACTTGTCAACCTTGGGCTTGTCAGTCTCAGCAGCCAGCAGCTGTTTGAGTGAAGAAAAGCCTCTAGCTTCAGTGGGCCGGAGCAGAAGGCAGAGCTGAGGCTCAATGTTGAAGGGTTTTCACCCAACCCCTAAAGCCTGGCACTTTGCATTCGGACTTAAAGCCTCCATACTGTAAGAGAATAAACTCCTGTTTGTTAAAGCCATCCCATTTGTGGCACTAGGTACCCAGAACACCTGGTAAAATTGAATTTGTGGTCTCTCTGTTCAATTATTCCACATAATTAACATCTTGATGAGTGGGAGCTAGGCCATTGCCTGGTTTTGAGAGATAGCCTAACAACTCTTTAGAGACTTTCAACTATTCTCCAATTCTTCTGTTTCACTCTTGTCTCTCATGGAACAAGGTGGCTTATCATTTTGGTTGTATGAGGCATTCCTCAGTAAATTCCTTAGGAAGGGCTCTCTGGGAATCAATTCTGTGAGTTTTTGCATTTCTTAATAGTTTTTCTGTGGACATATTCTTTTAAAAATTCTTTAATTAGCAGTTTCCTTGGCGATCTTAAATGTGTTATTCTATTGTTTTCTAGCATAAAATGTTGCTATTGAAAAGTCTGAACATAATCTCATTTTCTATCATCCATAAGTGACTTAGGGAGCTCTGGTGGCATAGTGCCTAAGGCATTTGACTGTTAACCAGAAGGCTGGCAGTTCAAACCCATCAGCCACTCTCAGGAGGCAGGTTGGGCAATCTACTTCCATAGTGATAGTGCCTCGGAAACCCAAGGAGGGGTCACTATGAGTTGGATTTGCCTTGACAGTAGTGAGTTCAGTTTTGGTATAAGTGATTTATACTTTTTGCCTGAATTCCCAAATACATTTTTTCTTTTTCTTTATAGAATACTTTACTAGAATGTTTTGTTTTGATTAGGTTGACTTTCTTAGCTGTGCCATGTGCTATTGTAATATGAGGTTCAAGTCTTCTTTTATTTCAGGAATTTTTCTTTAATAGAGTTTTGAGGATTTTCCATTGCTTTCATTTTCTTTTTCAGGGAGTCCTATTATATGGACATTGGGCCTTCTTTGGTATTTTTATTAGTTAACAGTTTTTCTCAAATATTTTTTTATCTTTTTCTTCATTTGTTTGATTTTATAAATCCCTCCTTTACATCTTCTATTTCTCGTAAGTCATAATCTGTTAAGTTTTGAAAAATATGATCTCATGCTTTATGAGATTTTTCTCCTCTTCCTCTTTATCTATAAACTGTGTCTTTTCTTCCCTGCCCTGCTCAATTCTAAATCCATGGCCAGCTGTTTCTCCTTAGGATAAGGCTTTGATCCAGAAGGACATTCTGATTAGTTAGGTTTGAGAATTCATAACTCTTGCACTGTTAGATCTTCCTTCAGTCATTATTTCCCTTGAACTCACTCGTGTCATGGAGCCTGCAAAATCCTGAGTTTCTGCTGCTGCTAACAGAACTCTTCATCAGTACCTGATAGTGATTTGGTGGTTTTCTGGTTCTCAGAGTTATCACAAGTTATTTTGTTTTGCCTCCATTTTCTGTATTACAATTTTAATGCCATGTAGGTCTTGTAGCTTTTGAAGGTTTGTTTCTATTGGCTCATGTTTTGGGATTTATAGGAAAATCTTTTAATCTATTATTGTTTTGGTCTTACTCGGGGATCTTTTTAGTTGCTAGTCTTTTATTTGTTCCCTTCAACTTGTCAAGGACCATATTTATGCTCACTGCCCTTATCAATGGTAAATTATTAATATTATAAACATATTTGTATGCTCCTATATGTCAGACACTACTCTAAGTTCTTTGTTGTTGTTGTTGTTATGTGCCGTGGAGTCAGACTTGACTCACAGCAACCCTTCCTTGGGTTTCCGAGGCAGTATCACTATGGAAGTAGATTGTCCAACTTTCCTTCCGAGGAGTGGCTGGTGGGTTTGAACCACCAGCCCTGTGGTTAGCAGTCAAGTGCCTTAGGCACTATGCTACCAGAGCTCCTTCTAAGTTCTTTACAAACATTAAAGTTGTTTAAAACTCAAAGTAATACAATGAGATAGGTACTATTATTATTTTGTGATGAAGAAATTAAAGCAAAAAGATAATTAACTTGTCAACCTCACACAGCTAGTATATAATGGAGCTAGGATTCCAATTCAAGAAGTTTGGTTGGCTGTCTCTTCAATTTCTCCCTAATAAGACAAATACCTGCGTATGCTCACCTCATCTGATCCTTACTCCCATCCACATTGTGTTTTTATTTCAGTTACTTCTGGATTGCTTTGAAATCCATTTTCTTTGATTTTTGTAGACTGGGATCCTTGCTTTTTAAGACTATAGTAAAGACCTTTAAGATACTAACTCATCCTCATTTCCCAAATATCTCTTATTTCCTCTTGGATTTATGTCTTTTCTTGATAGAGTACTTCTTCCAAGAGTATTTTCAAAGATTTTATATAATAAACCCACTAAGTTCTTGTATACTGGAAAGTATTTTTAACTTGCTCTCATATTTAAATAGTATTGTTGTTATGTGCTGTTGAGTCAGACTCTACTCATAGCGACCCCTCCTTGGGTTTCCGGGGCAATATCACTATGGAAGTATATTGCCCCATCTTCCTTCTGAGGAGTGGCTGGTGAGTTTGAACCAACAGCCTTCCCATTAGCAGTCAAATGCCTTAGGCACTACGAATTAAAACATTTAGATTCAAATTCTTTTTCTTCAACACTCTGAACACATTTTTTAATTGTGCTGTGTTTAGGGTTGCTTTTGAGCAGCCTGATAAAAACTTAATTTCTGTTTTTTTACACAGATGATCTGCTCTTTCTCCTTCAAAGTTTTTAGACTTTTCTCTTGATATGATAGATATCCATAAATTTTACTATAATATGTGGTGGCAGTTTTTTTCCTATCTATTGTCTTTAGCGTCCAATGATACCTTTTTATCTGAAGACTTTCATCTTTAATTCTGGGATATTTTAGGTCAATATTTCTCCAAATATTTCCATCTCTCTGTTTTTTATCTTCTCTTTTTAAAGTCCTTCTATATAGCTATTGATGCTATTTCTGTCTTTACTTTTATATTTTCCATCTCATCTTCCATGTCACTAACTTATATTTTATTAAATCCATCTATTGAATTCTTTATTTCAGCAGTATATTTTCATGTTAAGTATTTACAATTTATTTTTTCTTCATAACTGCCTTATCCTACTACACATTACAATATACCTTCTTTCTTGTCTTTTGAGGATATTTCTGATGCTTATTTTAAACTCATGCTTTGTCTGGCCTCAAAATTTTGCTTTATCTAGCATGGGTTAGTATGTTGTCTTTTAAAAAATTTTTTATAGCACTTAAAATTTTTATGCATTTTATTAGTTTGTAAGATCAATCAATCTTTCTTCTAATCTGTGGTTCTTAGGCTTAGGTTCAGGAGAAGGAGATAATTTCATTTTTCTAATTTCTAGAATTTCTTTTTAGGACCTTGAGATAAACAACTAAACCTTCATGTTCCATCATACACAATACCTTAGCCATATCTACACTGAATGTAATGAGGAAAAGAAAGGGCTCCAACTGAATTTTTACTAAACATTTCTTTCTCAGTAGTTTGTTTATTAAACTCAATCTCAGATTCTTCCACAAGTGGTCTCAACCTAATGGCTTCCTTATGATATATTCCCTAAGAACTGCTCTTTAGTACAACAGACCCCAAAACATTGAATTTAAAAAGATGGAAGAAAACACAAAAGAAATCATAACAACTTCATATATTTGTCCTACTTTTCTTTGTGGATAATTATTTTCTGTCATATAGAATTTATTTTCTTTCCAAGCTTCTATGTGTGTAATTTTGAAGAAACCAACAGCAAAAATCATAATATCTACACAGTGCAGAAGAAATCCATTCTCATGGGTTTTCTTTTTTTTTTTGGAATACATTACGCTTATAACTAGGTTGAGTACCTTAGGTGGAAAGCCAGTTGAACCAGGGCATCCCTTTTTCCTTAAGGTTGGTGTGTGAACTGGAAGTGGAGTAGAGTCTACAGTCTGAACCCAGGGGCAAAAAAGGAGATAAATGTCATGAAACACTCCATCTATTTCAAACATCACTAGAAACAAATCAAAGTAACAAAATAAAACTAAACAAACATTAATAAGGCAAAAATTTCTAGCTAAGAGAAAAATCTCATTGAAGCTAAATTCTTCACAGTGTTGAAAATTCAAATTTCTCCCTACAATCTCCAGAGATGAAATATTTGTTCACTTGGTAAAACTCATAACTATGAAAATTAAAAAAAAATTAATAATTGGAAAAGAAAGAAAAAATCAAAGCATGTAGCCTATAGAAATGAGGATATTCATTTTGAAATTGATTTCAATTTGCTGTAGTAATTCTAAAAAGTACCTGAAAGAGTTTTTAGCAATATTTATGATAAAAATATCAAAAGACTCTTAACTCATTGGTTTTCATATATAGAATACACATTAAATACGAGGAACACAATTCTGTAGACTTGACCATATGTGAAGAGAGAGGTTAGTGGGATTCTGGGCAGAAATAATTTTCAAGAAGGGGGTTAGGTTATTCAACATTATGGAAATTCAAACTTTATATACAAATTTAGTTACAAGTCATATTTTTATTAGCTATATAAGATACAGTCTTTTTTTTATGGAGTATTACTGAACTTTCCCTTGTTACCCTCCCGAGAGGGACAGGGTCTCCGGGAGCAAGGTAAGCACGGGAGGGCTTGTGCTTACTCACTGATCTGCACTGAACACTTTCCCTTGTTACCCTCCCGAGAGGGACCGGGTCTCCGGGAGCAAGGTAAGCACGGGTGGGCTTG